CAACGCACCGGATAACGATGCCCAGTTTTGAAATCTGCACTCTCAGCAGAAGCAGGATGCAGGCTCTTGTCTGGCTTCCAACAACCGTGTCCCCGAGATCCGTCCCAGTGTTGAGTGTGTTTGCAGTTCACTTATCATCCTTGCTTGCCAGATTCTGCGGTGCTCACCCCCTCACCATTTATTCGTCCGCTGTGTTGTTTACAGGCAGTGGAGTTGTGCCCAGTTTGGGGCCGTGAATGTTCACACTCGTGTGTTTTGGTGAACGTAGTGTACACGTTTTTGTTGGGTACCTGCTGGGCGTGGCATCGCATGTTCCCACATGCAACTCCAGTGGCATCCCACATGCCTCCAGCTCTAGCTGCTCCACGCTGATGCCATCGCTGACATTTCTGTCTGTTTCATTTTAGCCATCCTGGTGTGGGGAAGAAATTCTGAATTTTGGTGTAAGTGAAATGTCCCCATGTGTGTTTGTTTCTGGAGGCCCTATTTGTCCTGTTGGTCTGTTTTTCTTTCTAGAGTCGCACACTGTGTTACTGACGGTAACTTTATTTATTTTTATTTATTTGTTTATTTACTTATTTATTTTTGGCTGTGTTGGGTGTTCATTGCTGCACATAGGCTTTCTCTAGTTGTGGCGAGCGGGGGCTACTCTTTGTTGCAGTAACCGGCCTTCTCTTGTTGTGGAGCACAGGCTCTAGGCACGCAGGCTTCAGTAGTTGTGGTGCGTGGGCTCAGTAGTTGTGGCTCTCAGGCTTAGTTGCTCCACGGGATGTAGGATCTTCCTGGACCAGGGATTGAACCCATGTCCCCTGCAGGTGGATTCTTAACCACTACACCACCAGGGATGCCCATGTAACTTTAAAATAAGTCCCCCATCCAAGAGCGGTAGTTCTGCAACTTTGTTCTTCCTCAAGATAATGTCTATTACAGACTCTTGGTATTTCAATATATTTTTCAGAAATGTGTTTTCAATGTCCACACACATACACAATCTGCCAAGATCTTGATCAGATTACGGTGAATCTATGAATCACCTTGGAGGGAATTAACGTCTTCAAATATGAGGCATCCAATTCATGAACATGGTACATCTCTGTATTCTTTAGGATTCAACCCTTTTTTTCTGAATAATATTGTGTAGATATTTCGTAAAATGTTTTGAGCATATTTGATTAGATTTCTTCTTGATTTTTTAGTGCAGTTCTAAATATTTAAAACCTTTTTAAAATTGTTTTTGCTACTATATAAAAAGACAACAGATTTTTAAATAATTCATAGACTTTATGTTTTAGAACAGTTTTAAGTTTGCAGAAAAATTGAACAGCAAGCACAGAGAGTTCTCATGCACCTCCTCTCCCCTGACCTGCAGTTTTCCTTATGTCTCATATCTTGCACTGATGTGGTACCTTTGTTACACTTGATGAGCCAACGCTAATACATTATGATTAACTGAAGTCCATAATTCACACTGCGGTTCAGCCTTGGTGCTGTACGTTCTATGGGTTTAGACGAATGTATAATGACATGTATCCAGAATTATAAAACCATACAGACTAGTTTCCCTGCCCTGAAAATCCCCTGTGCCCCACCTGTATCCCTCCCCCCAAAGCCTGGCAACCACTGATCTTTTTACTGTCTGCCTATTCTGTATTTTCCAGAATGTCACAGAGTTGGAATCACACATTCTGTAGCTTTCTCTGATCAGCTTTTCTCACTTAATAACATGCATTTAAGGTTTGTCCATGTCTTTTCATGGATGGATAGCTCATTTCTTTTTTTTTTTAATATTGGACAAATCATAATATTGATATATTAACAAAATATTACCTTGGAAGAAAAAATGAGCAATCCTGCATATCCAAATATTATTACTTGAAAAAATGGTGAGAGTAGATCGCTCACTTCTTTTCAGCACTGAATAACACCCCATCGTCTGGACGGACCACAGTTTATTTACCCATTACTTACGGGCAGGACTTCTTTTTGGAAGCACTTAGTGACTGATTTGTTTGCCATCTGTTCTTTAATGTGATGGAATTCGCCTGTGTTCCTTTAGAGAGAACCTCTAATTCAGACTCTTCAATCATTAAAACCAGGTCCCCAGTCACCCCCCAAGAGTGAAGTTTTAGTGTCACACACGATGGTCGTCAGTCATACACAGCTGGCCTGTCTGAACCATTCTTTATCTCCAATAAAACTATTCTACAGGTGTGGCTTTCCTTACTCTGAGCCGGGCACGATTCTAGGTACACACCATGTCCCTGCCATCCCAGAATGAACGTCTTGGTCGGCAAGAAAAACAGGAAGGGAGAAAGTAAGTACGAGCCAGGTGGGTAGGCCAGGTACAGCCCTTGGCTGGGTGGCAGAGGCCCACCCTGGGGAGAGCCATCTGCTTTACTGAGTGCATGGAATCAAAGGCTATTCTCATCCAGAAGCACCCAGAATAAAGTCTGACCAAGTATCTAGACGCTCAGTGGTCCAGTTGACCCACAAACTCAGCTGTCACACAGAGTGACATCTCACAGGTAGCTCTGGCTTCTGTATGGACAACATGCTGCTGGGCTGCAGGAGCAGAAGCTGGAGATGCCTCCGGGGGCCACTGTGATGACCCAGTGGGCTGGAGCCGCCCCGCGTTTCCGAGGTTCTTCCCCTCCGGGTACCTACTTGCGCCGATCTGATGCGGCTTTCCGGGGAGTGATGTGAGAGACTCTCACGCCGGTCTCCTGATGGCTTCTCCCTGCCCAGGCTTCTCCGGTGTGGACCACCATCCACCATCTCACCGCCTCCCCCTCCCTGGTTTGGCAACGCACTGGTGTGTAACGCAGAATCAGAGGACCCTGAGCCTCAGGGCTGTCAGGAAAAAGCAGCAGCCGCAAATACGTCACGGGAAAGCAGAGCTCTCAGGGTGCCCGTGTGGCTCTGAAATGCAAGTCGCCGGTGGGGGTGGCCTGCTTGTCACATCAGAGGGGCTCCCGACACCGCGTGGGAGACCCAGGTCAGACCCAGGCGCAGCCGGCTGAGGAAGATTCGTGTTTTCTCTTCTTTAGAAACCGATGCTCAACTTAATCATCCCAGCGGGGTTACAGTTGAAGGAAACATTGGTTTTTTTAAGAAATCATTCTTTCCTTCCAACAGAGTACAGCTGGTTCTCCACATGCGGTAACTGTTCTACAGAGACACCCGGACACTGAGTTGGCGCGTCCTAAGCCTTTGCTCCTGGGACACAGGGCTGGGCTCCCATGGGCCTCAGGTCACATTTCCCTCAATGGGTCAGTACCTAACCCCGTCTCGTGTGTGTTTCTGCTGAGGGACACCTTACCGGATATCTACTGTTGCTGCGTTGACACGGACCTTCAGGCGAGAGCACGTAACGCCGGCCCTGACAGAGCTTCTCTCCCAGGCCCTTTCTCCCGAAGCACAGTCTTTCCGCACTGGGCTTGGGGGATTTTAAGCAGCAAAATCACCAAAAAAAAAAAAAAAAAAAAAAAGCACAAAAATGCAAAAATGACAACTTTTCGTAGACCTCGAGAAAGCCACGTGTCACGGCGGAGCTGACACAGGAAGCAGTGTCGCCTCTCGGGCCGGGCTGGCACCACGAGACAGGGCCACGCCGGCTCGTCCACGAGCGTGGATCTGGGGCCCCAGACGGACTTCAGTGAGCACGTGTACTCAAGAGCACAGAACCAGGACGGTGAGGACCGGGGTGGTTGCCTGGCCTTTATTCCTTTCTCCTCCGGGACGGTCCTGCGCCTGGGGCTCCCCCCATGTCCAGTATACGCCTCTTGGGGTGGGGGGGTGAGCATCGCTTAGCACAAAGGCAGCCAGGAGGGGGACAAGAGGTGAGCCGCGGGCCCACCAGGCAGGTCGGAGCAGACACCCTCTTCCGAGGGCTGCAGTGACACAGCCAGGAGCACACCTATTGGAACCAGCCCAGCGCCTGGTGTCCCGTGGGTATTCTGTAAATAGTTACTGCCTGACCGTGAACCCCAAGGGGCCTTTCGAGGATGAAATCTCACTCCGGCCTCCATGGCCCTGCCAGCGAGAGACGAGGGGACGTGGGGCTTGGCACACAGTGTGTCACCTTTAGGCCGAAGGGCCACCCCATAACAGGCGGTGAGACGGCCACGAGTCCACACACTGCCCTGCCTCACCCAAGGGAGCAGCAGAGATGGGGCACAGCAGCCTGTGGGTGCTGGGGAAAGCCATGCCTGCAACCCACCTTCAGAATCGCACTGTCCTACAGCGAAAGCTAGAGAGGCCCAAACAGGGCTCTGCTGGGAACAGCTGCGGCAGCATGGGAATCCCGCCTGCTGAGGAGACCCCCTTTTTCCTTAAGGATGGCGACTAAACAAAAAATCTTTTGGTAATTCCCTGGCGGTCCAGTGGTTAGGACTCTGCGCTTCCGCTGCAGGAGGCACGGTTCAGTCCCTAGTCAAGGAACTAACATCCCGCTTGCCGTGAGGCAACTGCCAGACCTTGTGAGGTATGTTCCAGGCGTGACTGCTTCCTGGAGAATCGTTATTCTTTCACAGAACTTTTAACCTTAATTTGCTAGAGATCGTCTCAAAGTCTTATCTCTAACATCTACATGTTTTAGGGGAATTCAGATAAAACTTTCCCCTTTTAGGAATTTCTTCAAAGGCTGAGATATTCCAAGCACTATTCTGATTCTGTAATTCACCTTATGGGGTAAGTTGGCTCAAGGAATATTTCTGAGACAGACAAAGAGACCAGGAGATGGGCCAGGCCACAGCCACCCCTGAGCACCATGCGATGCCCACTGAAGCCTCAGCTCCAAGCCATCGGGAGGTTTTCTCTCCTGTGAGTCAGGCGCCCCCCCCCCCCGTGAAACAGCTGATAACCCCCCATCCGCCTCTGCCGCGTCTCCGAGCTCATTTACACAACGCTTTGCAAACTCCGACACTGTTTGTTGTTTTACCATCACTATGGTTGTTACTTTTATGCTATAGATGGTGACCAAAAAAATTAATCAGTCGACCTAAGAGGGAAATGAAAAATTTTATTCGAGCCAAACTGAGGCTTCGAATCCAAGAACAGCCTCTCAGAAGCTCCAAAGCTGTTCCGCCCATTAGAAGCCCAGGCACAGCTGTTGAAGTTTTTTGAGACAGAGGGCTGTACATTAAATGACGTATTATTGACAGTTTACACAGTCTAGCGCTGAGCGTCATTGTGGCCCCTTAAAAGATCGAGAGGAATGTTTTCTTTAAGGGGCCGTCTTGCCGGTGCTGGGAGGATGTCGCTCCTCGCGGACGAGCAGGTATGTCTGCCGACGGGGAGCTGTGGTCACCCCTAATGCAGATACAAGATGCGCAGTTGGGGGAGAGGGGAGGTCCAAGGGCAGAGTAAAGTTCTTATGTTTACATTCTTCCAGTCTTGCCATAAAATATGAATTTTATTTCACATAGATGAAGCTCCTGGTTAAAAATAACAATGAAAGTGGAGCACTGATGGTATTTCACAGGTAGCCTAAAACGCCGCAATCTGAAATGGTCAAAATACTAGAGGCACCTGAGTTCTCCAAACTATAATCTTTAAAAATTCAATCTTGCCTCAGAAGTTACTTCTCCAAATGTTGACGTACAGTATTTCACGTTTGTCTTCTGCTGGGAGGGAAGCTGCCGACCTGAGCTTAGGGGACGGTGGGTCACCCGTAGGCCGATGACTCAGAGACAGCTGGTTCCGATGCAGCCGGAGGGACTGAGTAGAGGTGGCCAGAGGGACGTCCACCCCCAGGCAGCACGGGCTTCCCGAAAAGCTCAAAGGCAGAGAACGGTGGGGTCCTCAGACCAGCACCCCAGCTGTTGGGAACAAGAGTGAATCAGCCCCCTGTGGACAGGGTGGGTGTGATGACATTCCTTGTGCCCTTGTGACCTGGCTGTGGCCCTGGACAAGGAACTACAATGCTTAGACTCACTCCCAGAGGGTCTGCCTCTCCAGGAGGGAGGGCGCTGGGCAGAAGAGAGGGTGGAGAGATGGCAGCTCCCCTCGCCCCAGAGGCTTCCAGGAGTGGGGGAAATCAGGAAGGGCTCCTGGACGGAGGTGTCCGCCACTTGGCGAGGGTGCCGGTTTCCATGGGGGCAGACCCACCTCAGTGTGCCGATGCCGGGAGGTCGCCAGGCCCTGGGTGGACAGCAGGAGCTGTGCATGCTCTGTCTGTGGGATGCAGGCGGTCCTCGTGGGCCTGTGTGTCCTGGATGCCAAGCCTGGACCTGCAGACAGAGCCGAGCATCTGAAGGAGGAGGGGAAGAGACCAGACAAAGACAGCATCCGGCCAGAGCGCCAGGACTAGGGGCAGGGCTGCCGGCCTGAGCTCCAGGGAAGGAAGCGCTGGACACTGGCTTTGCACGTGCTCGATGGCCAGGAACCGGTGGTCGAGCCCAGGAAGTCGGAAGTCGAAGAGCCAGCAGACGGAAAGACCCGCGGTCCAGACCCTCCTCTACGTTTGAGGGTCGATCATCCTGGTTACAGAGAAGCAACGGTGCTCCTGGAGGGAGGGGCGTAAACTTTCGGGAGCTCTCCTGGTGGTGGGCGGGGGGCAGCGTCCGTCACAGACAGGTCTGGGAACCACCGCAGGGCCCCCGGCAGGGCCCCCAGACTCCACTGCTCAGGGTCGCCCAGTTCATCAAAAGCCCTACTCAGTGCAGCCCCAGCGCGAGGTCCGGGGTCTTACACGTGATGCCCCAAGCAGGCAGGACAGCCAGCCTGGGTGGGGTCACCTGGGGCCCTGCCCTCCCAGCAGAACAGGTCCAGCAGCCGGAGGGGCGACGTCTCCGCCCCAAGGGCAGGACTGGAGTTGAGGGGACGGTGTCTCAAGACCACGAGGCGGCCTCCTGCCCACGCCCCAGCCGCCCCCTCACACCGGACGCGCCCACATCCTGGCCTCGGCCAACACTGCGTGGCCCGGTGCTGCCGTTTCCAGGAGTCAGCTGACCCCAGAAGGCGAAGTTCCTGTTTGCAGCGCAGACATTCCGGCGGGGGAGGGGGAGGGACGGCCCCTCCCCCTCAGCCCCGCAGACCCTCCCGAGCTAAAAGGTCACAGTGACACATGGCAGGGGCCCGGGCAGCGCCCCCTGAGAGGCTTTGGGTTCCCCGAGGAAGCCTGCGGGCTTCCTCCAGGAAAGGAGTGGCAGAAGCACCGACTCTAGGGACTTTGTCCAGAGATGACCCCACCCCCCAGCGGGGAGCATCGCACTGCCTCTCAACTCCAGGGGGCAGACGCCTTGGGAGGGTCCCAGGAGACCGAGACCCCTCTGCTGAGGGCCCGGTGCGGACGGCGGGCACAGAAACCTCGGCTTTGGTGGTCTGGGCGCCGCAAACCTGCTGCACGTGAGGGCTTTCCCACGTGCCTCTGTGATGCTGCCCGGCCCCCACCTGCACCTGCTCTCACCTGGACGCTGGCCCTACTGTTCAAGGTCCCTTTCGTCCGTCTTTGGTGGGAGTCAGCCGCCTGCTGCCAGCCGGGACCCTGCTTATCCCTAGTGGTGCCCCGGGAGACCCACAGACGCCTGTGCAGGGCTGGCCCCAGAGCTGTTGTGCTTTGCGGCCAGGCCGTCCCTGCCATGACCACTCATCCTGATGTGGGCGGACAACGGCCACAGCGAATGCAAGAAGAGCCAGACAGGGCCGCGTTCTGGTAGAGCCTCGCGCACACTGCCCGTGGGTGCCTTTCCCTGGCCTGCACCCACACCCCTGTGACATGTGACCTGGGAGGGTCCTGGCTGTGGATGGGATGATGGGGCCCCGGACCCCCGCCTGCCAGGTGCTGCCCTGAGTCCTGCAGGAGCCTCGTCCCCCCAGCCTCCCACGGCGGCCTCTTCCTCCAGGCAGCCTTCCCTGAGCAGGTCACACCTGCGTGTGACCCCCCACCCCGCCCCGGTCAGAGCCCGAGCTTGGCTGCGTTGGGCGCATGCTCCCATGTCCCAGGGGCCAGCCCTGAGCTGCAGGGACGGGGATGAGGGGGGCAGGTTGAAAGCCAGAGCTTCGTCTGTTGAAGACGTCCTGGGCCTGTGAGAAGGGTGCGATGCCACACCCGCGTCAGGGTTTGGACGTAAAATGACCCCCTTCCCTCGGCTCGGGGTACCCTGCAGCCCAGGCCCCACCCCTGCACGTGACTTCCACACGGTCCTCAATCATCCGGACCCGACCGTGTCCTTGCAGGGACGCGACCCTCAGGCGACTTCATTCCATGGAGGAAAAGTCAGGCAAGGTGGCCCGTTTGCACAGCATCACGAACCACAGGCGGAGTCGCTGCCCCGTCCGCTGTGGCGCTGGCCATCCCGGCACACACAGAGCCTCCGCACAGTGCCCTCCTAACACCCGGAAACCCAGGCCCGCCTGTGCTCTCCACAAGCAGAGTCACAAACGGCATCTTCAAGAATGACAAGAAGGGCCGGAAATTCACCCTGGGAGCAGGTGAAATTTGGTGGGAACCCAAAGCGGCCACTGTTGGCAGAGGGAGGGCCCTCCTGACACACCCTTACGCAGGGAAACCCCTGAGAGCCGTTTTCGGGGAGGAACCTGAGATTCCGCGGCTCAGTAACGGAACACCCTGAGCGGCTGGACTCAGAGATGGACCTGGTTCTGCCGAAGTCGGGGCCGGGATGGGGGCCTGCCCGACTGCGGCCCCGCAGTGACCCTCCCAGCAGCGCTCCCACCGCGTCGGGACATACCCCTGGCCCTCCCACCCAGCCCGCTGCAGACGGGCCCGTCCACTCCAGCCGGTCCCCTGGTGAGCTAAGGAGTGATGCTGCTGGGTCCCGGGAGGCCACCCCTCCCTCTTGTCCCTCAGTGTGTAATCAAAACCGTCAGAAACTTTTCAGAAGGCATGCTTTCCATATGCAGTGGTGAGGGCCTGGCAGTCCAGATGTGGTTAGACACAGAAAAGCAGCACTGAGTTAAAAAAAAGAAACTCTGAAACTAAGGAATCATCACTGCGAGGTTGTGTAATCCTTGTTTTGACAGAAAAGACAGCTTCCAGATTACCCTGTTCTATAACTGAAAGCCTCACACACTGGACCGTCCTGCAGAAAATGTACTGTGGGCGCCGTGCAGCATAGTCAGAAAGGAGCAGCCGTTGGGTTAATCAGCGGCCGTGGGGGGCCTGAGCTCCGCGGGGGGTTCTCACCAGGACCCAGGGTGTCGCCTTCGGGGTGAGCCTCGGATGAAGGTATTTAGCCTTGAAAAACACAGTTAGAATTTGCAAAGGTGTCAGGGTGGGGGGACCAATCCCATCGCTCTGCAGAGCAGGACACCGAGGGGCGAGTCCCCAGCCCTGATCAGGGACCCGCGGGGACCCCACCCGCCCCGCGCCCACATTCCAGGGCTGGCTCTGCAGAACCTCTGTTTGGCACGTGGGCCCTGCACCAGCCACCCGCCTCCACAGTCTCCCGTTCTCCTCCCAGCCCCACATGGCTAAGTTCAAAACACACCCACCTCCAGGACACACTGGAGGACGGGTGTGCTCAGGTGAAAACACTTGGAAACCACTCAGAGCCGTCCTGTGCCTGCCTAGGCCTCAGAGGGGCAGGACGGTGTAAAAGGAACTTCCCTGAAGCTTCGGTTGGAGAGAAGGGAGGAACGGGGTTAGGTGGGTGGAACACCCCTTGAGGGGAGCCCACCCGGGCTGCAGCGGGTCTGCCTGGAGGGACAAGCCCTCAGCCCCGCCCCCACGCCCTGGCTGACCGCCAGCTGCAAGTCCCGCCCCACAGGGCCTGGGCCGGCGTCGGTCCGAGGACTGTGCCCAGAGGAGCAGCAGGAAACGCGCCCTCTTCTCTTTCTGCTCCGCTGATTTCTGAAAATGGGGCCCGGAAGGTTCCGCCCCTGAGATGCAGCCCCGCCCCGTCCTGGGAACTGCTGTGTCGACTGGACGGCAAGACAGCCTAGAAAGATCACACGGTGGTGGGCAAGCACCCCGCCCCACCACGTTCTAAGGTTCCAGGGCCTGAAAGAGCACGACCCCCGGCGGAGAACCAGCTGCAGACCCCCCAACTCCCAGCCGGATGCATCCGCCTCAGGCCCCTGCCAGGCTGTAGGGTTATCCATACAAGCCCGCCTCGTCCCCCTGGGAACTGCAAAGCTTCCTCTGCAGCCCCCCAGACGGGCCCATCGCTCATGTGCCCGTGACTAATCACCTGCTGCCGGTCTCACCTGTCCAGGGTGGGGTGTGGGCAGGCCCCTCCCTTCTGGGTGGGGCGAGAGGCAGGTGGCCAGAGCGGCCCCTTTGGCTGCGTTGGCTGAGGTCCAGGCATCCCTAGACGTGCTTTCCCTTGGGGTCAGGGACTCCTCCCCCTCCCTTCCTTCCAGGCAACGTCCAGACAGCTAAGGTTTCAAAGCCAAAAAAAAAAAAAAGGGATTGAGAACTGAATACAACAATTCCACAAAATCTGCAGGAATGGAGGTCTCCCCCAAACCACGTTCCTGATCCTGAGTTTGTGGGGCTGACGTGAGCCAACGCCCCCTCCCCGAAAACTAAACACGGGACCGAGCGCCTCAGGAAGGAAAGGAAAGGCGGTCGTGAGGGTCCCGTGAACTCGGAGGTGCTGCAGAAATTCGTGGGACAGAGTCCCCTTCCTCCGGTCCACCCACTGAACCAGAATCGGGCACCCTCTGTCCCCCTCCGCGGGCTTTCCCGCCAGGTCCCTCTGCAAGTCCGTCCCCGTGGCTGAGCCGCGGCCGGGACCCTCTCTGTGCAGAGCCTGTCGTGAGGGAACAGAGGCTTTTTGTTGCCCTGCGGTTTCCAGGGCTGAGCTGGCCTCGCGCACCGAGTGGTCCTGCTCCACAGACCTTAGCCGCCTGGCCGCTGTCCAGCGGGGGACAGAGGGATCTGTGTTGGGTCCACAGCACAGCACAGCCACGGCAGGAAAGCGGGGCGGCCGTTCCCAGAGCCCTGGACTGTGCGAACGAGCTTTCTTTTTCCGAAGCCGCCAAAATGTCGGTCCATGCTGAAAGCTCACCGCCAGCCAGGGTCACTGCAGTTACATCTAAAATAAAAATACTACAGAACCGGAAGCTGAGTACATTCTTTTTTCTTACTCTCCTTCAACAAAGCTGAATGGAATAATTGGGATCAAATCCTCCCCTTCGAAATCACATTTGGCGGAGAACCATCTGTGCCAAGTGTCAGCCTGAAATAATCCTTTTGCTGACATTACAAATCCTGTGAAAGAGAGTGGACCACAGAGATGCTGACGCCACCAGAAGCGCGGCAGGACAGACGAGATGTGAGTTCTCTTTAATTTTATGCTTAAAGTGAAAGAGCTTGTCAGCGGAGCTGCATCGAAAATGAGTCATGTAAATGCTGTGAGCAGTCTCACAACCTACTGTCAGGATTTACCCTCCAACGGAAAATACAATTCAAGCCCGGAGATTAAAATTAAAAGTATTGAATATAAAAAGCCATAGCTTCATGATCAAAAGAATAAAGCTCGGGCTTCCCTGGTGGTGCAGTGGTTGAGGGTCTGCCTGCCGATGCAGAGGACACGGGTTCGTGCCCCGGTCCGGGAAGATCCCACATGCCGCGGAACGGCTGGGCCCGTGAGCCATGGCCGCTGAGCCTGCGCGTCCGGAGCCTGTGCTCCGCAACGGGAGAGGCCACAACAGTGAGAGGCCCGCGTACTGCAAAAGAAGAAAAAAAAAAAGAATAAAGCTCACGTCCTTAAACGTACATTCCCAGTTACATAAACACCCATGGGTGTCTCGGTGTCACACCCCCTCCTGGGTCCAGCCCGTCTGCTTTCCTGTGCAGGACGGCAGTTGCCACAGTGAGACTCCGACGGACCCCAGCTTCATGCTGCTCCCCTCACCATCTGCTTTCGTCCATTTACTGCTGGGGTCATTTACCGTTGCTTCAACTTTCAGGAGATGTCTCACCACCTCCTGCATCTGCTTGTCAAAATCTGTTCATTTCTTAGAAGGAGTCCGAGTCCCCACCCGAAGTGCAGCCTTAGGACGCCCCCTGGAACTCTGTGCCTCTCTTCTTTGGTCTTAGGTTGTGACTGTTTCCGTGCTTCTAAACACGAAAAACAATCCCCATTCACTGTGGTTCTGCGGCTCTGCCTTGTTCCCACCGCCAGCAGCCGGGGCTGCACCTCCTTCTCGGCTACTAGTCGACAGCTCAGGGCTCCACACGGGACTCTGTGGACTCCTCTTACCACCTGCCCCTGGCTGGACACTCCAGTTCTCACAATTCCACAAGAAAGCGTCTTCTCAGCTGTGGGGCTTCTCTGGGATGTGTCCCGAGGGCCGTCGTTCCTGGGCCACAGGGCGTGTGCTTCTTCACCGACTGGGTGTTTGCGCACTGGTTCCCGGGCGGCCGCGCTCGCCTCGCGCCCCAGGTCCTGGCCGGTCCCCAGCACCACCTTGCCAGCCCCTCTCATGCCGCATCTCCTTGGGTGCGTCTCCCGGGGGTCTGCAGGCTCAAGCACCTTCTCGTCTCTTCCCGCCCCGCGGGCTTCCTCTCTTGGGCACTGCCTGTGCGTAAGCGTTCCCCATTTGGGGTCATTTTGCTTTCTTAGAGCCGTGTAGAATTTCTTTACTTTATCAAACGATGCTGGTCCTTTTCCCGTGATGCTCATTGTAACTATTTTCTGGCTGAGTTGTGGCTTTTATCTTCAGCTGGTTTACAGTGAGACTCTTACAATGTTAGGAAACGTGCTGGTGTCTCTTTGGCTTGTGATTTTTGTGGACTCGTTAGGAAATCCTTCCCTATCCCAAAGTCATAAAGATAATCTCCATTTTTTTTTGTTTGTTTGTTTTTTTTTTTTGCGGTACGCGGGCCTCTCACTGTTGTGGCCTCTCCCGATGCGGAGCACAGGCTCCGGACGTGCAGGCTTAGCGGCCATGGCTCACGGGCCCAGCCGCTCCGCGGCATGTGGGATCTTCCCGGACCGGGGCACGAACCCGTGTCCTCTGCATCGGCAGGCGGACTCTCAACCACTGCGCCACCAGGGAAGCCCAATAATCTCCAATTTTTTTAACTTTAAGGTTACACTTTGCACAATTAGCCACTCATTCACTTGTGGGTTATTTTTTTAATGTGGTAAAATAAACATAAAGTAATATTCACCATTTTAACCATCTTCAAGTGTATGTTTCGGTGGCATTCAGTGCATTCTCAACGCTATGCTACCATCACAGGCTCTTTCTTCACCCCGGACTCATTTGTTTTCTAAACCGTTTATTCAACAGACGTTATGGAGGCTGTCAGGAGGGCCGGCAAGACGCTGGGACAGCCAGTGAAGGAGTTAACAGGCCTCCCCCTGTCCTCGGCGGCCGGCCCTCGGGGACGCGTCAGCGGTGAGAAGCGGGGACTCCCCGGCTGTTGCCCGAGGGCCGAGATTTGTCCCCTCTGACCTGTGAGGTGACGCGTGGGGTCATCACCCCGGCCGCACAGGGCGGCCCGCTTGCGGACCGGACGCCGCTGCATCTCAAGGAGCTGCCCCCAGAGAAGAGCTGCTGAGAGCACCTGGTGGCACAAACTGGCTCCCGGACGCCGCACCTGGTGGCACAAACCGGCTCCCGGACGCCGCTGATGAGGGCTGTCTGTGGGCAGATGACGCTCCTTCCGTGCAGGTTCCAGATCTTCTGGAGCAGAGATGAGAGCCAGATGAGCTGGTGAGAGGGGCCCCAGCCCTAAAGGGCTCATCCTGGAGGGAGGCAGGCGGCTGCTCTGTTCTCTTCTGTTCCGAGAGCAGCTTTCACGGTGTGGTCGGCGTCCTGGCCCGGGGTCGGGCGGCAGGAGGGGCGGCTCCGAGAACAGCCCAGCCCTGGGGTCCCAGGAGGTGTGGGGCGGGGGGACCCGGGATGCCCCCGGCACCTTCTTCATGTGCAGCCGGCAGGGCCACAGCGCGGCCACGGCTCCCCCGGCACGGGCTCCTCGGCACAGGCCTCGGCCACACGTCCGGTGGGTAGAGGGAGGGTCGGCCTGCAGTGAGGCCGCCGGCTCGGGACGCGCCCTGGACAGAGGCACAGGGTCGGGGGATGGCTCAGGACCAGCTCGGGGTGCGGACAAGAGGCCCCGGCCGGGTCAGCCCGCTAGTCCGCAGCCAGGCTGGTCCTGACTGTGTCACTCCAGCCGCCCCAGGCGTCGCCGATTTTCACTCGCCTTCTCCTGAGCGGCGAGTCCCACCGGACCTTGGCAACAGAGCCATCGGGGAGCCGCCCCAGAGCGAGGCAGGCCACTGGGGCGCCCTTCACATGACGGCACTCAGGACTGGGGAGGAAGGCGGCTGTTCCGTGTCTCACGGGGTCTGGAGCTTACACAGCTGCAGGTGCTTTCTTTAAGGAGAAAGGTGTACAATTACAGTAATAGATCAGGACGGCACTGAACACCTGTGTGGAGTGAGAACAGAAGAGGCCACACAGCACGAACATTCTAAAGCTGCAGGACAAGGTCAGATGTGGGAGGAGTGCCCTCCCTGGGGCCGCGCCCTCTCCGCTCCCCAGCTGGTCCACACCTTGGACACAGGGAGTCCCGAGCCCAGCCCAGCCAGGCCACGTTTACTGACAGCTTAGGGAAGTTTCCTTCTGCTTTGCCTTGCGGAAGGGCTGCCCTTCTGAGGCAGGAAGGGGGCAGGGCACAGCCTTTAAAAGCACGACATAGCCCGAGGACACGACAGAAGCTGGTTGGAACAACCAGACGACTGACAAGCAGACCTCCGCTAGACCCCGAGCCCAGTATCCGCTCATTGTAACACATCAGCTACGTGACTCACCCACAGGAGCCAGGAGAGTTCTGAGGGTGACCATGGAAGGCCCAAAGCGGGCAACGCCCAACTCCCAGACACTTCCCAGCCCTCCAGCCCTCCTACTCACCAGCCTGTGACATTACCCAGCCCCATAAAGGCCGACAACCCCGCACCCTGGCTCTCTCGGTTTCTTGCTTCTCTCACTTCCGTCTATGGAGTGTGTTTCTCCCTGAATAAACCTTCTTTCTCTACCACGGCTCGCTCTTGAATTCCTTCCTGTGCGAAGCCAAGATCCGCACTCGGCAGCCGTGCCCGGGACTCGGATGGGACCCGGGAGGTGACCATCTTCCCACACCTCACTCTCTTACCTGCAACACTCTGACCTCAGCTGTGCCAACTTCTCACCCCGCCTCAGCCTCCGGGCTCGGCCAGGTCCTGGGTGCCCCAGGGGTACCCTGCTTCACTCTTCCGCCTTGAGGGTCACAGAGGTCCATGTGGGCCATGGGGCCTGGGGGGTGGGGAGGTCATGTGGAAGCCAGGACCTCGCCCAGGGGAGGGGGCACCCCCTAGGCCTCGCCCCACATCCCAGAGAATGCTCTGGAAGGGTCAGGAAAGAGGGGCCCTGAGGGTGACTGGGCCGGGGGGTTGTGGGTGAGGACACGGGCATCACTCTCTGACCAATGGGGAGAAGCACCTTCCGGGGATGCTGTGGCAGTGGGGTGGACACCTGGCAGGGGCCAGGCCCCGCGGCTTCCTGGCAGAAAGAGGAAGGAAGAGGGTTTGCTTCTCTGACTTGGGCACTTTCTCTCTGCGTGCACGGTTAGAGCAGAGGCACCGGGCTCCGGCGCTGCAATTGTCATAGTTGTCACCTGGGCCCCCTTGCTGTCCCCTCACCGTGCTCTGTGGCTCACTCCCCTCTGCTCATGGGGGACCTCGGGGCCCCCACGAGTGCTGTCACTTCCTTCCTCTCACCTCGATCCCCTCAAACCCAGCCCCCAAGGGAGTGCCCACCTGGTCCAGTGCTGGGGGGTGACCCCACTGCCCCTCAGTCTCCCCCTCCTTCTTCCTCTCCGGGGCTGCGTCTCCTCTACGGACACCGCCGTCCACTCTGCCTCGCTCCATCTGTGTCCTGGAGCCGCGCCAGACATCTGGGCATCCCTTCCACGCCTGAAGGAGAGGAAAGAAATTGGCTTTGAGGATCTGAAAGAAACCACTGCCAAAGTAAACCTTAGTGTCCCCCACGGTGACAAATACCATGGTTGGTTACTCAGACAACCGAGATTCGAACGGAAACGTGTGGGTCCCAAAGACGCCGTGCGGTGGTCCACAGTCAACCGAGGAAGAGCTTGCAACAGCAAATGGTAACGTGTCCACAGATTTTATTTTCTACTGAATCTCCTATTACCAGAAACTTTCTTTACTACTGGGCTAAAGAAAAGATTTTCTTTAAGGATTAAGATAGAAAGATTTAAGTTGGAGCCTAAGAACCTTGTTACATACAGCTTGGGGGATTGACAAAAAAAGAAGAGGGAAATGGCAAGGATGTTACGAGGGTAAATCTGGAAGTCTGTCCTGCCTGCAGATGTTGCTGGGAGCTTTATATCTCAAGGTGGAATACGCTTCCAAGGAAAGAAATCATTTCTGGAAAAAGGACCTTTTGAAAAATGTTTTATTTATTTATTTTTTTTGCATTACGCAGGCCTCTCACTGTTGTGGCCTCTCGTGTTGCGGAGCACAGGCTCCGGACGCGCAGGCTCAGCGGCCATGGCTCACGGGCCCAGCCAGGGGCCATGGCTCACGGGCCCAGCCAGGGGCCATGGCTCACGGGCCCAGCCGCTCCGCGGCATGTGGGATCTTCCCGGACCGGGGCACGAACCCGCGTCCCCTGCATCGGCAGGCGTACCCTCAACCACTGCGCCACCAGGGAAGCCCCTGAAAAATGTTTGACTGGTTCACATTCTCACAGTGTGTCTTTACATTTGGACTTTGGATAAACTAGAGGAGTGGCTGTGTAACGTACCTGTGTCCCCAGGGATCCCAGCACAGGCGTCACCTGACAAGGGACTCCACCTCCGAAGCCCTGGGGGCGGGTCTGTCCTCTGCTCTCCAAGCCCTAACCCTGAAAACTTAATTGCTTAGACAGCAGGCCCAGACACCTGGGAATTCACTGGAATTCAAATTCACTGGGCATTCTTTTTGTTTGCTTGTTTTGTTTTGGTTTTTTAAGTTGATATGTTGTATTTTCACTTTTATTCAGTTCAAGGAATTTTTTTTTTTTTTTTTTTTTTTTGGCCACATGGCATGCGGGATCTAGTTCCCCAACCAGGGATCAAACTCGCTCCCCCTGCAGTGGAAGTCTTGGAACTGACTTCCAAGTGGAAGCCTGGAGTCTTAACCACTGGACCGCCAGGGAAGTCCCTGGGCACCCTTTTTGGGTGTGGGGAGACCCATCCCATCGCCCAGTGTGGGACCTGCTAGGAGCTGCCTTTTCACACTTCACGCCTGTGAAGTACGACCGTGGCTGCAGAAATGCCTGGGGGAGCAGACGCAAGGGCTGCACGGGGTCCCTGTGTTTTTACCCGTGTTCGCTTCATAGGTGGGTCTTGTCACCATCACACCTGTCGGGATCCTACAGGAATTCTTCATGATCGCTTAGCCACGTGGGACGTACGTCCTTTACCCCAGGTTGTGCTGCGCAGCTGCGATGCCCTCCCCCACCTCTGAAGAGGCACTGGACGCCAGGAACGAGGAAGTGGCCCTAAACCGTTTGGTTGAAGTCACTTCATGAATCATAATGATGGGTTGGAACAATAAGCCGCATTGTGAGCGCTGCACGAGTTCACCTCAAACATACTGTGCTGCTGTACGCAGCCTTTGCCCGGATTCCTTTTTAAAAAGGGAAGACAGAAGACCTGACTGCCCGCCCACGTGTGATTCAATGTCCGTTTGTCTCGGGTGGTTTCATATGCAGGAGGTGGGTCCCTCCGGTCGTATTGGGGGCTCCAGACCCCACCTACCCTCGCCCCCCAGCCCCTCCCCCAGCTCACTCCCCCGGGGACAGGACAGGCACGAGGCTGGACCATTTACTTAGTGATTACCTCCGTAACCCTCCTGACAACCATCAAAGAGGCAACAAGATCTGGACGCAGCCAGTCCCATGGACTCCAGTGAGAAAGGACTCCAGTGAGAAAATTAGAATCCAGGCTTAGAGGCGGCCGCCTTCAGCCCCTGTCGACTTCAACTTCTCACAGAAGCACAGCATGCCTGTGAGAGTCAAACGTATGAGCTAACGGTTTAAAATAAAAGTGCACATCACATTTAGAGACAGGAAACAGCCTGCAATTGAAAGTAATAATAATAATTTGAAAAACATAAAAAGACGACAGCGCATTGGCGCAATTTGTTCCTGAGAGGCTGTGGTGTGGACAGAGGCCCACGGTCACGAACACTGAGCGGCACCTGAGCCAACGCGGGCCACGACGTTCCACCTCGCGGAAGAGGAGGTCCGTGCGGTTGGCACGGTGAGCGAGGAACAGCAGGACTGCAGGTTTAGGTGCGGAAGCGGCTCACGCGTTTCATGCCGGCGCTGACGCGATCATTCACTAAGAACGTCCTGCGAGCCCGCCTTTGCTAAGGTTGGACATGAAGACGCTGTTTGCAGGGACCCTTGAGACACGCCGTCCCACTGACCCCCTTAACTTGTCCAAGGTTCCCCTCACGGCAAAGGGCCACCCCGAGCCCCAACTCTCGGGCAGCCCCTGGGGGGCAGCCTTTGTTCCGGTGCCCTTGGTCAGAGAGCATGTTCATGTGTCTAAGTCATGTCACCGTGCACACGTGCTGGGGATGTATGTCCAGAGAAATGCGTGTGTGTTACACAGGAACAAACCCAAACTGTGAAAATGAAGAATACCGGGCACATGGTCAGAGTAGGACCCACGAAGCTGCATGTGAATGTGGAGGAAGTCCTCTGCTCAAAGAGAAGGTGGGGAGATGCCCACGTCGAAACACACCACCTCTCCTGTAAGAATTGGGGCTCTCTGCTAAACACACGAAGTTGGCACTGCTTTTCCCCAGTAATCTAGTCAGTAGCAAAAATCACATCCAACTGGGCTTCCCTGGTGGTGCAGTGGTTGAGAGTCCGCCTGCCGATGCGGGGGACGCGGGTTCGTGCCCCGGTCAGGGAAGATCCCACATGCTGCAGAGCGGCTGGGCCCGTGAGCCATGGCCGCTGAGCCTACGCGTCCAGAACCTGTGCTCCGCAACGGGAGAGGCCACAGCAGTGAGAGGCCTGCGTACCGCAAAGAAACAAAAACAAACAAACAAAAAAATCACATCCAACTCTCCACAAAACCCCGTTTGCCGTCCAGGACCCAACTCTCAGAGAACTAGAACTGATTCCCTAACCTTCATGAAGCAGTTGACGCCTTGTGTTTTCCCAACCGCATCAAAACAAACTCTACCAAGAACTCAGGGATGTGCTCCTGTCCACCCCAAATTCCCGCTTCTCTGTGAAAAGAGCACTGACTCTGGCGGACGAGCACTGATGAAGACCGTGGGGGCTTCA